AATCCTCCACCTCTCTTAATAGGAGTCCCAGTAGGGCATCTACACGCTAGTTCCTTTGTTAGTGACTGTCAGGCTCTTGATAGTGTTTGAAGTGACCGAGTATCCTCACGATCCTTATTTCTTTAATCATTTAAATCACAGTTATTTTGCCCTGAAGATAGATTGTCATGGAAGAGAGGAACAAAGACGAAGGAGGAAGGCACAGGCAGGAAGGGGACAGAGGACCAGAAACAAAGGCAAAGACAGGCGTGGGTGGGGACACCGGAAATTTCTTTCGCTTACTTCACAAGCCTACAGCCGACCCGGCCTGGCAGGTGGCAAGGTGCCCCTGGATGACACAGCCAGGGATTTTTCTAGGCCATGAAAATGTTCTGTTGCTTTTGATATCTTACATTTTTTGACGGTACCACTAGATCTCTGAAAGCCAAGAGGTTCCGTACTGCACTGGGCTGTCGCTGACGCGCCTTTGTTTCTCCTGGAGCCGCGGCTCCGCAGCAGAGGGCATTTGTGTTTGGGAAGCCTGCCCCCTCCTGGATTAGAGAAATCTTACAGCCCAGGCTGCCAAGCTCCCCAAAATTGGATCTAGTGTGAGAAATGTTCAAACTGTTATTCAGAGATTTCAGGATAATAAATAAATAAAATTTTTTTCATATGATTTCCCTGATACTTTTGGATTCTTCTCATATAAATCTTTAGGTGGATTTTATGGATTTTGAAATCATACCCACCTAAAAACCCTGAAAAAAATGTTTTAAGGACCCAAAGAGATAATAACAGCATGAATGGTAATATATTTAGTGATTTCTATTGTGCCAGGACTGTGCAAAGTACCTTGTGAACATTGCCAATTGCAGCACTCACCACCACCCCAAGAGACAGGTTCTCTGCATTATTACCCTCACCTTACAGAAAGCCTTAACGCAGAGGTTCCCAACATTTTTGGCACCAGGGACCGTCTTCGTGCAAGACAATTTTCCATGGACCAGGCGGGGACTAGGGGGGTGGGGAATGGTTTCAGGATGAAACTGCTCCACTTCAGATCATCAGGCATTAGATTCTCATAAGGAGTGTGCAACCTAGATCCGGGGAATACACAACTCAGAATAGGGTTCGCTCTCCCAGGAGAATCTAATGCCACCGCTGATCTGACAGGAGGCGGAGCTCTGGCGGTAATGCTCGCTCCCACCAGCCACTGACTGGTCCAGGTCCACGGCCTGGAGTCCCCTGCAAACTGGAGAGCTTCTTTATAACCACCCTCACACACCCAACCACCCATAGGTTGGTAGGCCCTGAAATTCTTGAACTGCCACGCCATCTATTGACCACACTTGATTGAATGAGAAATAGTCAACCAAGCTGAGTTACCAGGATACTTTCTCCTGGGAATTTGGAAGCGGAATGAAAACAGCCATCAGTCTAGGCTGGTCACTTGAATGGAACCTCAGGAGCCCACTGTGGAAGACCATCTGCTGCCATGTGCATAGAGACGCAGGAAAAGGTGACCAGGAGAAAGACAAAAGAACAATGGGGAATTACAGAAAGAAGCAAAAAAGACAACTTCCCTTTTCTTAGTCCCGGTCCCTCCTGAGGCTCCCCTGCTAAAATAGCGTCCATCCTGTCGTGATGCGATGGGAGCAGCCTAACAGGCAGGGAGAAGTGCCTCAAGCTCACAGCCTTGTAGACCTTCAGCAGCTACTCCACACAACAGTGTGATATGTGTAATCAAGGACGAGGATAATTCAGTCATGAACCTATTTTCTGGACCCTCCTCCACATAAATAATTGCTAGCTCATTAAGGAATGTTTTAACATAATAAAAGTAATTTCTAAAAAAAAAAAAAAAGAAATAGGTTTTCGGGGTTTTTTGTACATCAAAAAGTAGTGTATATAACTAAGTCATGTGAGCAATAATATGTGAAAGTGGACCAAATCTACTGTTATAATGTAACAAAATCTGAAGTTAATATGGCACATTGAATGATGTGCATAATTTCATTGTACTCCATGGCAATTCGGCTCAAATAGGGAGCAATTAATGAAAATGACTATAATTATTATCATGTCAACAAAGCCAAGCCAAGCAATTCCAAAGTCAGCTGTAGGGAGGAGGAATTAGAGACAGCAGGAAGTTATTCTGGGGTTCCTCAGAAGGACCCGAGATTTAAAAACCAGGAGACTAAGTCTTTCCCTTGCCGCTCACTTCTCTAGCAACCATCATGCAGGAGGTCCCAGCTAAGAAGCTGTGAGCCTCTAGCTGCTCCTCCCTGACTGCTTCTCCAAAGAGAAGGAGCACTGAGGATGGTGGGCTGTGGGGAAGGGCTGCATCTGCTTGGGAGGCTGTCTGTTTCTCAACATTTGATTGGTGAAATCTGGAGCACAGAGAATTGGAAGCTGTTTTAGGAAGAAGTTGCCAGCCTACTTTTCGTAGTGCACACCTCCTTCAGTCTATGTCTACCCTTGGCACAAAGCATCATCAACATGGTCCATAACAGCTCATCTGGGATCTGTTTTGAGGATGGCAATGAAATCCTCATGGCAATAAAACACATGCAATGGCCTGGCTTTGCTCTCTGTTCCATGGGCAGCTGCGGCAGGGAGTGTGACACGTGGTTGAGGTAGGACAGGACTGGGTTGTTGAGATTGCTACATCCCAACAAAATACCATCATCTCAGTCTCTTTCCCACTGATGGACAACTCACAGAGACCCCTCAGAACAGTCATCAAAAGCCAGATTCTAGACATCTGAGTAGTTTGGCTTAAAGTAGCCAGTACTTAGAGAAAGAAAAATCCAGTGACTGCAAGTATTCTGTTTTCCTCCTTCCAGTAAACCAGCACCTCAGTCTGAACTTTCACCAATCAGAGGTACATTTCTGTTAATAAGCAAATAAATCTCAGCTATTTTACATGTATTACTTCCTTGATTTTTTTTTTTTTTGGTGTGTGTGTGGGGGTCATAATTAGCTATGATCCTGGCATAAGCACAATGGGAATGTCATGGAAACAACCAAGACAGGTTTTTCTGGAGTTATTCAATACACGTTAAGTACCATGTGTCAGTCATTGTGTTAGGCCCTGGAGGAAAAAAAAAATCACAAAACAGAGCTCTACTTTTTTTTTTTTTTGAGACTAAGTCTTGCCCTGTTGCCCAGCCTGGAGTGTGGTGATGCAATCTTGGCTGACCACAACTTCTGCCTACTGGATTCAAGCGATTATTCTGCCTCAACCTCCCACATAGCTAAGAGTACAGGTGTTTCAGTATTTTTAGTAAAGACGGGGTTTCACCATGTTGGCCAGGCTGGTCTCAAACTCCTGACCTCAGTGATCCGTCTGTCTTGGCCACCCAAAGTGCTGGGATTACAGGTGTGAGCCACTATGCCTGGCCAGAACTCTACTCTTCAGGAATTTAGTGCTTCAGGTACTCAACATTAAGTAGCAGGATGACTTAGGGGCAGAAAAAAAGGAGGCTATTTATATCTTGGAACATTTTAATAACCTCCAAACATTTTATACGGATAAAGCTGGGTTAAAACAAATACTAAGAGGTGTCTAAGAGGAAAGAATGGGGATGGGAATGGGAAGAAAATTGTAGAAAAGGGGAGGGTTGTTATCTTGGAGCTGGCGATGGCTTCGTACTTGTGCATCTGACAGTTGTTTTTAAATAGTGTCTGTCTGAATCATTCCTCCACCTTCACTTTCCACCCTACACCCAACCCTCTCCCTGAGTCATTTCTCATTCTGAAAGGAGAAAGAGGAAAGGATATAATTTGTATCACTTCCCTACCAGCTGCTAGGATACATTCGTGCATTTCCACTGGAACATTTCATCTACACATACCACTGTGCAATGGGTGAGATTCTTTCGTGTAAAGATGGAGAAACTAAGGTGCAAAGGGGTAGGGAGCATGATTCACCCCTTATTACACAGCTGGTAAGAGAAAGTGCCATAACGCAAACTCACACTCTAAATTATAACTATATCATTAGCAACAACTAGAACATAAGTGCTGCTTTTGTTAAAGTTAAAAAAAAAAGTAGGTAAGTGTGATACATAAAAGTCTTTCCTTCTCTACGTTCCCAAGTGTTTGGGGCGCATCCCTATACAGGTTTGCCTTGCAGACGCAAATGTGTCTTTTCATGTATGACATATAATTGCATATGTGAACATGTATAATTTTGACGTAAATGGGCATTCTAACCATATTGCTTTATCAATCACTTGTCACCTAGTGCTACATCATGGATATCCTTCTGTAATGTCTACATCATTACGTTTACTTCATTTATCTCCCTGAGATCTATATGAAATTTAATGAATATATATTATGTGAGCATTTCCTTATTGATGAGGATGTCCCTGTTTTAAAATTTAATATTAGCGTTTTCTAGTTAAAGTATTCTCTGTATCTGAGTTTTAAAATTTATTCAAATATAATGCAGAGGAATTCTGAAATGGAAATTTAAGTCTTCTTTTCCCACTCTTCATTCCAACTTCCATTCCCCAGAGTTGTAATGTTGCTGTTATTGCTTTTGTGTTTTGTTTTTCTTCTAGTATTTAACATTTTAACTTTAAATACATATAGTTCTTGATTTATCTGTTTTAGAAAATATCTGTTGCCTTGCCTTAATGACAGCTGAGTTTACCATACTTATGCTATCTCTCTATCTCTTTCTTTTAAATGTTAGTCATATTTATAATTTTTAAGTTATTCAGTTAAATTTGTACTTTTCTTTAGATATGTCTTGTGATTTGTCAAAAAATTTAAATTTTTGACAAAATGTCTTATGTGCTTTGTAAAAAAATTTAAATTTAAATTTTCAAAAAATTTAAAACCCAATGTCAATTTAAAAATGTATTCTGATTATATAAATATTATATGCTATAATGCCAAGTAGTAAGATAGGATTTATAGAAAGGAGACACTGCCCTCTGTGATTTGACCATGCTGGCTGCTTGAAGGAGGATTAAGATCTAATGGCTTATGCTTTTATTTCTTTTCAGTTTCCTCCTAAGCCATACCGGGCTGCCACTGTTCTTCATATAGCAGGTTCAAACTAATGGATCCAAGCTAAGGGACTCCATATTCTCCAAAGCCTATAAGCAAAATGCTAGTGTGGTGTCAGGGGTAAGAAGTTCCATTGTGTCCCCACTGAGGGGACACAGAAGTCTCAAAAGAGTCACTGGCCTGCCAGGTACCAAGAGGTACCAGGTACCACGAGGCTGCCAAAAGCAGAGATGGGACAAGCCATCGACTTCAGCTGAGGTTGTGACATGGCATCCACAAATGCCAAGCAGAACCATAATCTATGCAGGGAATAAGGATCCGAAAATCAGGTGCAAAATGGGAAGTCTCCCTAGAACACACATGTGCTGATCCAAGACACCCTTATTCTCAAGCCACAATGTTACCTATTCCCTGGCCCCAAACACACAGATACCGTTTTGGTGAGGAACAGGAGGAAGGAAAGGGAATACAATGTGAAAGGACTGTTTGAATCCTGTCAGAAAAGACTGACATACTGATATTTGTCCAGTTTCATTGTTTTTATCCCACACCCAATAAGAAAGAGGCTTAAAAGGAACATTAGTTCTTAAGACCGACCTGCTGTTCATTAAACCCACAGCTGAACTACATTTCCCAGCCTTCCTTTCAGTTAGGTGACCATGTGAATGGGTTCTGGCCAATAAATTGTGAGCAGAAGTGGTAGATCCCATTTCCTGACCTGGTACACACAGACTTCCCATGCTTATCCTTTATGTTCTTTTCTTTTCCACAGTGATCTGGAAACCAGTATTGAAGATGGTGAAGCCATGCATGGAAGGCACCTGGATCAAGGAGATTTAAAAGAGCTACCTACTGGCTGGGCACAGTGTCTCATGCCTGTAACCTGGCACTTTGGGAGGCTGAGGCAAGTGGGTCGTGAGGTCAGGAGTTCAAGACTAGCCTGACAAATATGGTGAAACCCTGTCTCTGCTAAAAAGAAAATATGAAAATTAGCCAGGCATGGTGGTGTGCACCTGTAGTCCCGGCTACCTGGGAAGCTGAGACAGGAGCATCCCTTGAACCCAGGAGGCAGAGGTTGCAGTGAGCCAAAATTGCATCACTGCACTCCAGTCTGGGTGACAGAGTGAGACTCCATCTCCAAAAAAAAAAGAGCTGCCTGACAATCAGGAACACCTTTTTTTAAGCTTTGAAGATATGTTTTAGTTCTCATATTCCTGCATAACAAACTACTCCAAATTTAGTGGATTAAAGCAACAATTTATTGTAATCCCTATCAGTTCTGTGGATTGACTGGGTTTAACTGGGTGGTTCTCACTTGGGGTGACTCATATGATTACAGTCAGATGTGGGCATTTTTCTTTTAATTCTTATTCACTGCCTAGATCTTTTACTGGCCCCTGGGAAATATATTAAGAATTCATATTTTCAGACTGTCTCTGTTTCCAGGGACTCCATCGTGGGATTGGAATAGAGTCTGGAGACAGGCAGTTTAACTAGTACTTGTTAGGAGCTTTATTCCTCTTGATAGTTCTTCCTATTTCTTAAATTCCTAAAAACTCAGAGAATGAAGGTCAGTCTCTTTGTAATAGGTCTAAAACTCAGCTCAAGCTAGAATGACTCCCTAGGAAACTACCTGTATCCTTTTTATGGTGACTGTCCTCAGATTCTGCTCTTTGAAGTGCCTGTTTCTCTTCTATATTGGGCACACACCATTGTTCTGATGCTCTGAGCTAGGTCTTCAAATACCTCTCAGTCATTCATTCCACATTCTTTTTACAAAAATGTTCTGAGCATCTGCTTTGACATTTCAGATTTTCTGCTAGGGGCACAATGTGTCTCCCTAGTTTTACCTGAGTATAAGCGTGACCTGGGTTTTGTGTCTACTGGGCACATTTTTTTTTTTTTTTTTTTGAGACAGAGTCTCACACTGACTATAGTGCAGTGGCGCAATCTAGGCTCTCACTGCAATCTCTACCCCCTGGGTTCAAGCAATTCTCCTGCCTCAGCCTCCTGAGTAGCTGAGACTACAGGTGTGCGCCACCGTGCCCAGCTAATTTTTTTGTATTTTTTAGTAGAGATGGGGTTTCACCATGTTGGCCAGCATGGTCTTGATCTCCTGATCTCGTGATCTACCTGCCTTGGCCTCCCAAATGCTGGGATTACAGGAATGAGCCACCACGCCCAGCCTACTGGGCACATTTATATAATAATATCCTAAAATAAAATTTCCAAATATATTAATTTCCTGAGATTTGTCTTTCCTCTTAAAATATCAGCCTTTTTCATATCCTTTATGCACATACTAGTATTCCCTTTAACCAAAAGCCTTTCTTTAGCCTGTAGTGATTTCTGAAAAGTGTTTGGTGCAAAACGTTCTCTTCCATCTGAGAAGAGACAAAAAAAACTTCAAGTTTAGTCTCGCTCTGCCTGGCACTGTATTTCACCACACACTTAGGAGACCTACTGCTTTATGAATCACTAGGAATTTGAGAAGCCATTGAGTCCATTCAACCCTACTCTCCAGAAAGGATAAAAGTGAAACTGCTTTATTCAGGTGAGCATTGATCTTATTTCTAAAGACTATTAGGGAGGAAAAGTGTGACAATGAGAGTGCTCAAACACGAGCATCATCTTTTGCTGTGGTTGTATTAATTGATTGACCCATAATTGTTTCAAACCCAGAATCCTAATCACAGAATACAACCACCTCCCTTATATTTGGCTGCTTCGAGCTTAGCCACCCCTTCTCTAAATTCTCTACAGGAGCTCAGCTCCCTTACTTAAAATACCCAGCTCATGTGTTTTTACAACTACTGCATTCTTGCTTTAACAATGATACCCTTTGCCTGGATGTATTTTTCCTCCCCTGGTCATGCTCCAATTTTATCCTCCTTGAAAACAATGCTAAAACTGATCTGTCTCCAACAGCAAACCATCCAGGGAGGAACAGGAACTGAGGAATGAGCAGGTCTCTCTTCAAGGTCTGGTTTAGCTGCTCCTGGCTATACTATCAGAGAAGTGAAGACCAGGAACCATTTTCTTCATCTGCAAAATGGGACTCGTGTAAATAACAGAACCTACCCCATTGGGTTTGTGCTGTAGGCACACTGGCCTTCTTTCAGTTCTTGGAAGCATCCTCTCCTCCCACAGGGCTCTTGCAAAAGAGCTGTTCCCTCCCCGTGGAACATGGGACCCTTCCTCCAACCTTTACTCTTGTGAATGCCCTTTTTTCCTGAAACAATTAAGTTGACACTTCCTCAGTGATGAGGCCAAATGTCCCTTTCATGCCACTATGTACTTCACTCCCAGGGCACTGATCACACTTCCAAATTTATATTGATTTCTGAGATTATTTAATTAACAGCATTCTCCTATAATAGACCACATATTCCATGAAAACAGACACATCTGTTTTCTCTCACCAGTTTATCTCCAGCGCACAGCATTCAGTAGATATTTGTGGAATAAATGAATGAACATAAATGAATAATAGTTGTGCAAATAAAGGAGACCATGCAGGCCAATCATTAGCATTGTATTGTTATTATTATTACCTTTTCAAAGCAGCACTAATAATAATAACACCAACTCTAGGGATCACAAGGACTACAGGGGTAAGGTTTATGAAAGTTGTTTGTAAGGCCGGTCGCGGTGGCTCACGCCTGTAATCCCAGCACTTTGGGAGGCCGAGGCGGGTGGATCACGAGGTCAAGAGATCTAGACCATCCTGGTCAACATGGTGAAACCCCGTCTCTACTAAAACTACAAAAAATTAGCTGGGCATGGTGGCGCGTGCCTGTAGTCCCAGCTACTCAGGAGGCTGAGGCAGGAGAATTGCCTGAACCCAGGAGGCGGAGGTTGCGGTGAGCCGAGATCGCGCCATTGCACTCCAGCCTGGGTAACAAGAGCGAAACTCCGTCTCAAAAAAAAAAAAAAAAGAGAAAGTTGTTTGTAAATTGTAAAGCACTAAACAAATGTTAGCATTTCGTGATCATTGAAATCTCTTAGTTCTTTTTCCTGCAAACACCACAGTGGTCCGCTGCACAGCCATCTAAAGCATATCTACACATGGAGACGCCCATGCTTCTGTCACCTGTTATGAGCCTGGTTTGCAAGTAATTGTACTCATAAACAAATTACAAGCCATACAGCAATGGCATCACTATTTGAAGAGGTGATACATTTTAAGGAAATGGCTCTCTTAGAACTCAGACACTGCAGCTCTTGTTATGCAGTAGGCTTTGTCACAAGAGGGTGAGGCATGGAAAGACTTCTTGAAATTCTTGAAAGGATGCAGGGCTGGGGAAACTGAACTGGTAATGGTTAATTTTATGTGTCAATTTGACTGGGCCACAGTGTGCAGTCAAATATTTCTGTGACGGTGTTTTTTTTGTTTGTTTGTTTTGTTTTTTTTTTTCCTTTTTGTGGAGAACGGGGTTTCGCTATATTGCCCAGGCAGGTCTCAAACTCCTGGGCTCAAGCTGACCTCCCGCCTCTGCCTCCCTAAGAGCTGGGATTACAGGCATGCGCCACAGCGTCCGGCTGTGAGGGTGTTTTGAAATGAGATTAAATCAGCAGAGAGAATAAAGCAGATTGCCTCCTTTAAGATGGCTTCTTACCATCAGGTGATGGCTTGAATAGAACAGAAGTCTGACCCTGCCCTGAATAAGAGAGAAATCCTCCTGCCTAAGTCCTTTTCAACTGGGACATCAGCTTTTTTCCTGTCTTTGGACTTGAACAGAAACATTGGCTCTTCTTGACTCTTGAGCCTGCTGGCCTTTGACAGAAAGTCTACCATGTGCTGTCCTGATTCTCAGGACTTCAGATGTGGACTGGAACTAGACCATCAGCACTCCTGGGCTTCTAGCTGACCTGCCATGCAGATCTTGAGACTTGACTACCTCCATAATCACATGAGCCAATTCTTTATCATAGTAATTTTCATAATATCCATACAAATACACACACACACACTCCCCCATTGGTTCTTTTTCTCTGGAGAACCCTGACTACTACAGCTGGTTACAGAGGCTGCTCCCAGCAAGGACATTTGTGCAGACCAAGCCCAGTGCCCAAAAGTAGAAGCTCACAAGAAAAGTTTCAGCAATCATCAGCACTGGTGTATGATCTGGCAGATGCAGCATGAACACAAATGGATCAGGTTCAGATATATCAAGTTGCTCCCAATGTTTCGGTCAACCACAGCAGGACTCTCACCGGTGGTTAAAGTCACAGGGGCTTTGGGAAAAGGGGTAATTGCACATTAGAGAGGGCCTCAAACTCTGACAGTCTTCCCATGAAGAGATGGAGTCTATGTCCCCTCCCCTTGAAACTGGGTCAGACTCTGTGACCAATAGAATTTTTCACAAGTGATGTTGTGTCAGTTTCTGAGCCCACACCTTACAACACAAGCAACTTCCAAATTTTATCTCTTAGAACATTCTCTGAAGAAGCCAGAGGGCATGTAAGAAATCCACATACTCAGATTTTCATGCATGAGACCAAACCACAATGTGGTGGCTAGACCCTAAAGGATGAGCCTAGGTTGACAGAGTAAGAGAGAGGACCCAAGGGACATGAAGGTAATACACATGTGACCATAGTTATCTGAAGCCACTGCATTTGGGGGTAGTAGGTTATGCAGCAATAGATAATTGAAACAGGGATTAACTGGCAAGAGACAGGAATCCAAGCCCAATCCTGCCTTGATAAGGCTGGTGAGGTTCAGGAAGTGCTATAGACCTAAAGGGAGATTTGGTCTTTTAGATAAATCATCAGGCTAACCACTAAGGAGAAGAAAGCTAAAAAGATGACTCAAGGTTACCTGGTGCTCACGTTTCCCAACTGTGGACGTGCAGTTAACACAAGCCCGCCAGAAGGTGGGGCTAAGCCAGTTGCTGTACTTCCTGG